CCATGACATTTCAGTTCTATGTCAACCAAAAGACTCAACAGCGAAAGAAGATAAAACCAACATCATCTACAAAATAAATTGTAACAACTGCGAAAAACACTACATTGGCCAAAGTGGACGTCCCTTTCGTCTTCGTATCCACGAACATAAGCTAGCCGTCAAAAGACATGATATCCACTCCCTCATATCGCCTCACTGCATACAGACAACCACGGACATCAATTCGACTGGGACAACGTTCAAATATTAGACAGAGGAAACAACAAGAATGCTAGAGAATTTTTAGAAGCCAACCTGGCATTCCAGTGAATCATCAATCAATAGACACATCGAGATTAACAAAATTTATCAACCGATAAGAAAGAAACCTCACACACAAAGGGTCAAAGTTCAAGTCAAAGAAACAATGAGTGACAATACAAGTAACCTAGAAGGTGTGAAAACACACAAAAACAACCAAAGAGTCACGTCCAAGGTCACCGGGAGAGATGATTAATGAACTCGTGGAGAAATCTAAAAGCTGACTTCAAATTGAAGTATGCGCTGAAGATGTCACCTAGTAGTGGGGTGATGAAAGCTTTGCAAATTAAATATCCAGCTCAGAGAACACAACCACATCAAAATCATCCACCTGAGCTACAAATCTTCTCTATCATATCTAAACTCCAAATCTTACATATATGGATCAAGTTCAGACCTAGTGTAGAATATACCAGTTTGTTGTGTTATTGTTGTATGCTAACAGCTTCATGTGCGCAGTCCAGTGGTAAAATTAAAATATACTAATTGTTTCTACATCTACACAGGTCTGAGAACATAAACAACAAAAATGATTTCTCATCGGAGGTACTGAAAGATATTTCTTTGCTGATATGTACAAACAATGTAGTTTCGATTTGACGGATCACATTGTAGGCAAAAAGTGTACTTGGCAATGGGAAGTCCCTCTGGATCAGTATTTGTAGAAATATCGTTTTAAAGTATTAAATTGAGTAATGACATAAAAAAGAATTGATTTGTTTATCATTTCTGAGAGTAAAAACCAAGCAAATGATCCGCTTAGGCTTATCAGTTCAATCCATCGAAATGTAAAACTAATGTTTGCATATAAGGTGTCAAATCATTCAGTTTTTTTTCAAAAATTGAGCATTGAAAAGAATGAAGTTTGTCATCATCGATTGAGATTGTTGGGACACGTGTCGCGAATACCGAGCCATCGCTTTCCTCGACGAGCAATGTTAGCTGATAAAGGATAAGTTTGTAAAAGAATTAGGAGTGGTCAAACCGACATCAAGCATCATTTCATGAGGTCTTTGACAGTTGGTTTGAACCAGACACCTAGTGAGGTATACACTGCCTGGTTGGTGTCCTTGGGAAGCTAAGAACCAACGGCTTGAGCCTATCAGTGACATGTCTTGGGATCCTTCTCAGTGGGGCAGATAAATACACTCTTTACGATCTCCCATATCCAAGTAAGCCTTATGTTCTCCTATGCTACTATTCTTTCTCTGGCACGTTTCTGCTTGTTATAGTTCTTTTGAATCTCTCTCTTTCTCGTCTTTTTCTCAACCTCTGTGTACTACATAGAGCGTGGTAATTTGAACTTCTGTGTAAAGTTCTACGTTGAAACTCAGTCAGTCGATTTTCCATAAGTCTACTTCAGCGTGCCCATATTTACCATTCAGCAGCTTTTGTCTCTTTAGTGAAGAAAATAGAAGGGAAGAAATGTTGCTTAACAGTCACTCACATTTCTGTGAAGTTAGCAGTGAGTCATACCTATTATGTATGGGCTAGTAATGTTATCTGATGGCCGCAAGCCTCAGTACGTGGATCGGGGTTCGAACTCGCGACCCATTAGCTGAAAGTGGAGATTCTAAACTAATGGAATCACAGCCCCACTGTCTAGCGAAGACTTTGTTTCCAAGAGTTAGTCGAAAATGAACTAGGGAATTTCCACTAAACTTTAGTGGTAAGTGGATTTCCTATTAAGTTAACTAATAAATATTTCGAATTAAAAAAAACTGACAAGTTGATGGGAATATTTGGACCAACGAAGATTTTTATTAGTTTACAGTGCAAAGGCAATGAAAAAATGTATCATGCTAACTTCGCCTGACGCAAAATGAAAGGTAGTCTACAATAAAAATTGTCTTTCTAAATCAGTCAGTAAGACTTACTTTGCAGCGGAACTCCAGTTGGCTTTCACCAACCGTAAGTTGTTCTCCGTGTGTGTAAAAGACAAGCTCCCCCCGTCCAGTTGTTTCCATATGCATCTATCAGTTCGCCTGCTCTTGTGGAGTAAGGTACATTGACCGTAGCCAGAGAACGCCTTCCATACGGATATGAGAGCACATTCCAGCAGTTTTACAAGGGAAAAAGGAGAGTATGAGAAATTCTATTCCAAAACACTTGATCAACTTCTATCACTCAACCAACCCTGACCATCGTTTAGAGGATCATCTGTTCAATTGTGTACGTTTCCCTTCTTATTATGACTAGTATTATTTTTGTGCTTTTCACGTTGAACAGTCCTATGTATAAAACGTCGAATCCCAGAAGGACATAGTTCCTTCAAGGTTGCAGATACGCTTTCAACTAGCACGAACCTGAGCTTCCTGCCGATTGCCTCCAACCATTAAACAGTTTCCACTATTATTATTTATTATCTTAAATCAATATGTTTATTACAGTGTCGAAGTCTACCTTATTAAACTTCTCACGTTATGTTTTATTTGCATACTAATCGAAGGCTAGCTGTCTTTGATCATAGGTGCCTGCGTTCTATCTCCCGTGTGAAGTGTTATAGTAGGGTAAGCAATACTGAGGTTAGGCGTCGAGTGCTAGGTAAGGAGGGGAAATCAATCGACGAGGCTGTGATGCTACAGCGACTGAGATGGTTAGGACATGTGTTACGTATGCCTAGTCATCGCCTTCCTCGACAATGGGCAATGTTAGCTGATATAGGGTCAGGCTGGAAAAGAGCTAGCGGCGGTCAAACCAAAACATGGCTTCACCAATCAACCAAATCCACAATAGTTAGTTTAAGCCAACCACGTAGGAAGATGTAGGCTTCCTGGTTGGGGTCCTCGGGACGGTAAACACCAATGGCTGGAGACAATCGGTGATATAGCTCAAAATCGTTCTCAATGGCTGCAGATGCATCCACTCCTTGTGACTTATAATACCCAATGAAACTATATTGCTCTTCGTTATTACTATTCCTTTTGTCTCATATCCCTGTTTACTGTCTCTATTATGCATTTCTTCTACTTTCTTCTCTTGCTTTGTGTGCTACATGGAGTGTGGTGACTTGAACTGCTGCACATCGGTGCAAAGTTCTATGTTGAAAACAGACAGACAGACTAATCTTTTGAGTTTTCTATCCTCTTCAAAGGTCTATACATTTTGTGAATTATCCTACTCGGATGGCATTATTTGTTTTACCGTTTGGTACTGGACTGCGATTATAATCACAAACAGTCCGCCGCATTCCATATTACAATTATTAGTATTCACAATTTTGATTTAAATTTTCTCACGGGATACAGTTTCTTCAAAATCACATATAGCAACAAATTCGTTATAAAGAGCGTCTTCGCTGAATATTGTGTTCCTAATGTTGCAATGGGAATTATGAAATTGGTCAGGGGTTTGATCATGAGATGACATCAGTGAGAAAACCAGGGAGTGCTGGACAACTATTTCGTCCTAGTTTTAAAGTCTTCAGCAGTAAACACATTTGACAAAAATCTACAGATAGAAGTTTTTCGTTAATTTACAAACTTTTTAAAGGCTATATGGTGATTCTTTGATAAAAAGTGAGGATTCAGAGAGAGAGAGAGAGAGAGAGGTACACTGCATTCAACATCGATGTCAACGATTTGAAAATGGAAGAAATCCTACTTGCTTTCACTTCGACTCTTATTTCGCCGCATACTTCAGGATATGAGACACGCATCTAAACGAAACTGTCTGTCGGATTCCATCGTCACCAATATATTGCTGGGTACCTAGAACTAACATAAAACTAATGAGTGCAGTTTATTATAAGTTGATACAGTTACTGAATTCACTGTAATGATTTGCGACATTGAAATGGTTATTGGGTAAAGTCAACCTAAAACAATTGAAAAAATTACATTAAAACACAAAGAAATGATACTAATGCTTATAAAGAAGTTTGACTTTTACTTATTATATATGCATTTCTACTTTCTTTTGCTTTGTGTGGTACATGGAGTGTGTGACTTGAACTCACATTATTGAAACCGACCGCCGAGCTCATTCCCTCTTAAAGCTGTTTTCGGTGTGTTGGTGAAAGTCAATCGCCGCTGTCATTGGTCGATTTTGACTATTACTATTTGTAGTCACTCCTTAATCTACGTGTAAACAGCCTTTACGCGAATTCTTTCCTAGCAATTTGTACTTTTTTACGCAGTTCGGCCTAACAGTCGACGCCTCTATGGAATGATGCTTCGTCTGACTTTTATCTTTCCGTCAAATTTGTGAAATGTGTCCTTCAATGAAATACACATCCCACGTCTAAATTGTATATTGCTGATGGGATTGTATCGGCATACGACAATAGTCACATACTTTAAGTCTTCATAAATATCCTACTACCAATGACTATGTGTAAATAACCATACAATAGAAGAGATCAACATGTTACACAGTATACTATGCCATACGAAAATACAAACGGCGCAATTTACCTACTGTTAAGCGAACCTTCCGTATCTTTGCCAAAATGTTGTCAGCCACTAACCTACAAAGGCTGATGTAGCTTCTCAGGGATGTGAAATGGTTCAACCCAATCGTATATTTGTACTTTAAACTTCAGAGATATGAAGCGTCATTGGCTCGAATTATGCTACAACCCAAGTTTCATCAAACTTTTAACCATTACTTATCGTATCGAAATGGAATAAAACAAGTCTTTACACGCATATAAATGCAATATAATATCTACAATGCATTTGTTAACATTATGGTAAATATCACAATGCGCTTAAACGAGGCATTTTGTTTGGTGGGGAGTCAGTATCATCCTTTCTTGTTTGTGACAATATGTATTGTTCTCTCTTCGTATCAAGACTTAGATCATAAAGCATAGGACGACCAGAATTAATAGTCCATGATCGATTACATTTGGAAGTACACACGTATGTAATACGGGATTGAGTATTTTGTGAACTGGGGACGAAATTGGTAAAACTGTCCTTTTTATAAACAGGTAGGTTCTTTAAACTTTCAGCCATTCGATGATTATCACATGACTTGAAACTAAAATGGAAATTTGAAAAAAAAACAATTAGATAACTTTGTAAGTTCTCATAGTCAAATAGCACTACAGTTAATAACAAATACAGGCTTCTCCACACGAAACTGAACACTAGATTTTAGTTGTTTTTTTCTGACACTGATTTGAGCCGATAATTCCACCTGTTTCAGATTTATCTTAGCAACACCTATACAGGAAGATGCTGAAGTTAGGTATAAAATTTAAAGACTGGACAGTTATTCGACTTTTGTGGCGGTTACCAGTGAATTCGATAGAACCCATAAGAATACTCTACATAGTGTTATTCATGATATGAGTTATATATAGGGAGGTGTGTTTAATAAATGGACCACAATTAATCATAGCAAAACGAAAGGTGAATGTGCCATACAGGTCATATTCACATAGGTTAAGAGTGGAAGGGGTATGATAGAATGAAAATTAAGTTTATACTGAATTACAGCTCAGTTACGTCACGGTAATTTGAGCCAATGGTGTACTAAACTACTTCACTACTTATGCTTGTATTTACCTTCGGTTATATGTTAGTGCGATAGCGTTCCAGTAGCACTAATAACAGCATTTGCGGTACTAGGAATCCTAAATTTCATTACGTAAATTATGGCAGTTAGGAGAGGGGGATATTATTGGGACGAGGGACGGCAAATGAAGGGTATATATTGGAACAAATTGGGAAAGTAAAGCAACTTGAGGCTCATTTACCATTATGAGATTTGCTTTTTTAGCTGCATGATAACAGAGAAAATACGTGATGTATCGCGATACTTTAAATTTGTTGACTATGTGCAATGACAGAAAAATACTTCTTTTGAATCCAAGTTTCCGACGAAAAGTATAGTAGATGTTGATGTCCCATGTATACCGTTAACATTTAAGTATGTAATCGTTCGAAAAATTTCGGAGATTAGTTAAGTGATGTGCATAATTTCAAAGTTTATACTCTTCAGTAGACAAAAATACAGACGAGTTCTTAACCTCTATTATGTATTCTTCAACTGACTCATTCCAGTTAACATTGAGTTATTTTGTATAAAAGATTCGTGAGGTGTTTTAAGCAATTTTATTTCGTCGGGAAATCTGAACGATGATAGGGAATCAATAGTCATTGTGCATCATTTCCTCATATGGGTGGTTGAAGCTGATTGGCTTTCTCTACCTTCGTAATTTACTTTCCCGTTTAGGAAGATAGTTAAATTCTTACCTCACAGTTTATGCAGATACGTACTATAGTGTACTTCTCGTCAGGCTTTACAGTAACATAATTAAATATTAATCATAGGCATTTAGAACTAATGTTGGTAATATAATCATAGTTCAGATATGTGAGTTAGCGAATAGTAATCAAGGTGATCACGATAACAATCTAGGTGGTCAGTTATTTTGAATGTGTATCTTTGTAGGGGTATATAGGGGAACTAACGATTGTTTCATAGCTATTGGGTAATTATCCAAAGTTTACTCATGGACTAATTTGTTTTTATAGTAAATTGTGAGACTGAGATCAAAATGTGCAATTAAACCAGTGTGATAATAGTAATAAAAAATAAGGATTGCAGTACAATAAGAGATTAATATTCACTTAACTGGCATCTCTAGGAAAGGGAATTATTTCATTTCCACTAACCACATTGTCTTTAAATGTCTATGATGAGTCTTTCATTGTATAGTTGTAAAGCCAAATGAGGAATCACCGAAAATACATACCTGATTTAATTGTGTCAGTGACTCACAAAACACACAGAATAACGGGAACAAGAACAAAATTGGTGATTAAAATCCTTTATTCATCTCACATATTCAGTTTTCAAGACCTTACTACATTCTAACCACATCTTCCATAAAATAACGCACATTTAGTGTATCTCAGCAACTAGTTATCCCGTCCATTCTATATATTGTTCCCTCGTTTCTCCAATGAAGAATCCAAGGCCATATATATGGGTTTTGACGAAGTTTTGAACTTTTTTAAAGGAAAAATGTTCTCGATTTTTTTTATTAAGCCTTTCATGCCCCTCCCTTTTTGACTATTTGAGGACAAAAAAAGAACAGCATTTCTATCCCTTTTCGTGCGAAAACAGGAACATCATGAAGCGCGAGTTGAGTAAACTTACGAAGAGTGACAAACGAGATCAAACAATAAGCACGACGGAAAAACAACAACACTGAAACTGTACCCAAACTTTTTGAAAAGACCTCCCGAAGTTACATCCTTGAGCACTGAAATTAATTGTTGACACCATATGCACACCTCTGTTTAACTGATAGAATCTCAAAACCAGCTCTCGCGTTGTCTGTAGCTTCAACTATGAAGAGAAGCGTTGACAAATAATTTGTGCTTGTAGACATACAAATTTCGAATTTTGTTTTGTGATTTGAAATGATCGTTCATGGGACAAAGGCTCTGACCAGAACATTGGGTACAGTGGTATGTCCATTTCATTTCTGAACCCTAACACCTATCAGGCTTAGTCGGAATAACAGTTAGAGCACCGTAGAAGCATGGAATGTTTCAGAATAAGTTATGTTGCTGATCCTTTCTGGCCATTTCATCTTCGTTATCGCCCAGTGGCAACTGTCAGAAATGCTTTCATTAGAGCATGAGATAATTCACTAGAGGTTTCAAAATTATACTAGACATTAACTTTGAAAAATGTGATCTTCCCTAGGCTGCATTAAGTAAAGTTGTAACGACAGAAGACAAGGGCTGGCAACACATCGTTTATTGGGAGAATCAAGAGATATTTATCAATTTTTATGTACATTATTGTTAGCGTTATTGTTAGCAGAGGAGCAAAGTCTTCTCGGTGGTTATTTTCTGGCTGAATGTTATTCTGTACTGCTTTTGACTGTTTCTTAGAAAAATAAGCCATATATCTGCGAAGCGTATTGTACACGTTAAGCCTGCTATGACAGTTTGGCGAGTTCCTCAAGGTTAAGCTTTGTTTACAGTTTACAATTTATTTAGGATAGTAGGCTATATGCCTGTGTTAATCCTTTCGATTTGTTACACACAGGAGGTCCAATCTCGCCTTGAATGAATCAACGGATGGCGCTGATACGACGTGTTCCGGTAGGGAGTTCCAATGGTTCACAATCCGATGCGAAAAACGGATCTCCAGACGCAGACGATTCGACCGTGGTTTTTGAACCTTGAGGTGATGTCCTCGCAATTGGTTGGTGCTAGAAGGAAGAAATAAGTTAGATAAATTTGCTCCAAAATCATTTCTTAGGATACGGTATGCTAGTATTAGGTCACCCCTAAGTCGTCTGTATGACAGTGGAAGTAAACCCAGTCGACTTAACCTCTCTTCATATGAGAGGGTTGAGAAACCCTTTATTAGCTTAGTTCCTACTCTTTGCACCCTTTCTAATAAGCCTATTTCGTACTTGAAACACGGGCTCGCTGCCTGGATCCCATATTCCAAATGAGGTCTGGTATAAGTCGGATATAATATACGAAATATTTCAGCGTCAAAATTCGCAAAAGCCTTGCGTATGGCCCATAATATTCGAAAACCCTTAGTGGCTGCAGCTCTACAGTTTGTTACTGTTTTCAAGTCATGCTGCACAACCACTCCCAAGTCCTTGTACTCAGTGACCACTGGGAGAGCAATGCCATTCATTGAGTAATTGTGCACGTGACTATGAGATACATGCATAACTACACTCTTGCTTAAGTTAATCTCCAAGGCCCAGTGCTTACACCAATCACTTAACAAGTTTAAATCTTCCTGCAAAGCAAGTTGATCACTGTCATCGTGTAAAGCCCTCCATATCTTGATGTCATCAGCAAACAGTAAGCAGGATGACCTAACTACCGATGGAATCTCATTAACATAAATCAGGAAAAGAAGTGGGCCTAGAATTGTACCCTGAGGAACGCCACTCTTAACCGATTCCCATGTTGATAAAACCCCGTTAACTCGTACTCTTTGTCTTCTGTCCTTTAGAAAGTCTTGAATCCAGTCGGCAACCACTTTATTGATTCCCAGACTACCTAACTTTACTAGAAGACCTGAATGAGAAACCCTGTCAAACGCCTTGCTAAGGTCGATGAATATGGCATCCACCGGTACATTAGCATCAGCTGAGCTTGCCCAACTTTCTCTGGCCAAAAGAAGGTTGGTCAAGCAAGAATGACCTGCTCTAAAACCATGCTGTTCCACAGCGAAAAGTTTGTTCCCTTCAATGAACTGAATGATAGCATCACGAATTATTCTTTCTAGTAGTTTAACAACAATACTGGTCAAACTAACAGGACGATAGTTCTGAACTAAGTTTCTAGATCCGGTTTTGAAGGCTTTTTCTCATGACTCTGATTCGGGAGGTGACATTGATGTTGATTGCTGTCTATAATTTTCGGCTTGCAGCTAGCTATCACCACAAAGTTTTTATGGCGGTAGGTAATTCCTTAGAATTATTGGTCACAGCATTCTTCACTGAACATTGGATGCTGACCCTCACTGTTTAAGTCGGCTTGTTTAGCTGAAGGCTTCCGGTCAAGCATCCACGCCACTTGTTACGCTGTCGTAGTACATTCGTTCGTCCATGCACGATCCCTAGCTAGTTAAGCAATCATCTCGCACTCCGACTTGGTCCCGAAATATGATTCGTAATCTGGACGGTCAATTCTTGTGTTTTGCTATGCCTTTGGTCTACGCGGAACGAATACTATATATAATATATATTTCACATAAATTAAGCATTTACATGATTAACATACCGTTTTTACAGGCATGATCATATTTGACAAGTGCAATTTGAAATGGAACACCGTTTTTGACATCAAAAATTGGAAAAATGGAAAAAACTCTAGAAACTTTGTTAGAATAGATTACAATATATTGGTTCAAGTCTAATTTATAGTCTATAATATACTTATAGTCAGTTAAATTCATGCGGGAATTACGAAATGTTGCGTTAATGGAAGGTAAGAAGAGAGGTGAAAAACAGGTGCTAGAGTACGACATACAGGATACAGGCCTTGTGATCATTATCATTTTGTCAATTAATAAGGGTTCAAAAATTAAAAAAAACTCCATAGTAGAGGGTAAGTACAGCATTATTTTGGTAATAACAGATACAAGGGACCAACTTTGCGATGACAAACAGTACTCAGAATGGAATTTCTTCCGTTGTTCGTTGTGTGTGCCAACAATATTCTGAATAACGCTCAAGTAATAAAAACGTAGAAAGCAGCATCACTGTTCATTTGCAGTGCATCAATGCAATACCTTCGAGAAGAGAAGGAAGAAGAAAACAGAAAGAGAGGTGCAGAGGCAGCCAGCAAATAATAATAATTTAAGCAAACAATATGCGATAAACGCAGGGTTTATTCCCCTATTTTGTTACTAATAATTTAGAGTCATTGAGTTTTATAGTGTAACATACTAACAGTTAGTTCAAGTTTGTGGTAGTAAACAACAACAAAAAATATAGAATAACAAATTTTAAAAAAAACATAAGGGCAAAACGAATAATGATTTTTACACCTATATAGGGTAGTGGGAATAGAAGTTGGGGGAGTTAAATCCAAACGCCAAATTACATAAAATATGTAGAAGGAAAGAAAAACAAAATGAATGATGATACTTATTTATGCTGTTATTCTGATTTATACAGATGTCCTCCTGAAGTAAAGAAATCGTACCATGAGCTTGTTTTCAAAGAGTTTATACACAAGCTTTGTCATACAGGCAGCTTTTATTTTTTTATTATTATTTTTTTTGAAGTTGTGTGTATAAGATCTTGCGTTAGTATACATCACACTATCTGTGAACGTCAACATCCTCAGCCTTCAAGCTGGTGAGTCCTATAGCAAAGTTTATCTTTGGTAAATACGCAGGCAAACCCGGTAAGTTCGTTCTATTTTGTATTTGTTCTTGCACTATTTTTAAAGCATATATATCTCGTCATGAGTGACCATACGCCTAAGGTCATCCGTATTCAATCAACCATCAAAACTATTCAGCTAGTGCCATTTTCGCCAGATAATGTGGAATCATGGTTTCAAATAGCCGAGTCTAATTTCAGTGGACATGGGATCACTGACCAACTTTCACAGTTCCTTGCAGTTGTCCACACCCTACCGCGGGGATTAATCAAATGTATAACTATGCAGTTGTCGAGCCCAGAAGTAAGTGACTCGTATGAGTTGCTTAAAGCAACTCTCCAAAGGAGAAACGTTCTTTCGCATCGACGACGTCCTAACGAGCTATCTCGCAACGTCGAGTTAGGTGATCAGGCGGCTGAGAGCATGCTAACAAGAATGGGGGAAGTTATTGGCCGACGTCAGTTCGATGAAGGATTTTTCAGAGAACTGCTCTTATCCAAACTTCCACAGCCCGCACAGGCTGTGTTTGTGATAATTCAAGGTGTTATTACAGACCGGCACTCAGTCGACAAAGGCGCCGCATTCAGCGTCCCCACTGCATATGGTTCCGAAAAAAAGATAGCAACGATTGGGGAGCCACTGGTGATTACCTGTGAGTGAACGCCAAAACAACCCCTGATTACCATCCGCTGCCTCACATACGCAACTTGACGGCAGCATGATCTGTCACAACTATTTTGTCGAAAAAACTTGGTTAAGGAAAGTCACCTTAGACATTTGGACTTGGCGTTCGAATTTATACGCTGACATGGTGTTACCATCAATATTCAAAAGTTTCAGATTGATGTTGAATCACTAGACTTTCTCGGTCACACCATTGACTGCAAGGGTATTCGCCCACTGGTTAGTAAATGTGAGGTGATGCATAACTTTCCATAGCCGCAGATAGTGAAATGTCTTCGCACTTTTAACGGGCTGGTAAGTTATTACCGACGGTTTATTCCCAACTGTGCTTCTCTGATTTAGCCACTAACAGACCTTCTTCGAGGGAATATCAATCCATCGAACTTGACGCGTCTGCTCAAAATGCTTCCACTCAGGTTAAAAAAGCTATTGCGGCTGCCAACCCACTTGTGTGTTAGAATCCAATGGCACCATTAAGTTTCTCGGTTGGTGCACCATACAATGAAATCGGCGCAGTTCTGCAACAACCACCCAACGAACAGTGTCAACCACTCGCCTTTTTCTCGAGGCACCTACAACTAGCATAAACCGAGTACAGCACATTCTGCAGAGGACTTCTGGCTATGTGCCGTGCTTTACACCACATCCGACATTCGGTGGGGGGGCTATTAATTCATGATTTTCACTGATCACAAACTCCTTACGTGCTCTCTCATCTCAGCTTCAGATAATTATTCGCTTTTGAAATCACGAAAACTGGACTACGTTTCACAGGTTGCATTGGAAATTCGCCACATATCCAGAATTAACAACACTATGGATGCCCATC